TTCAAGAAAGCAATTAAGCAATTAAGCTTCTCTCGTACGTTATACTTTCTCTGATTTAAAAACCATGAACAGTCTGAAGTCTGTACTCCACCAGAGGGCCGTGTAGAGCCTGCATCTTCTGTTTTGGTCAGTTTTGGAGTATCTGGTTAGTCCACTGAGGTAAGCATAGAAAAACTACTGTAGTGGCTAAAGACTACTGCAAACCAGAAGGGAAGCTCCACACTGAGCAAAAGATTAAAAAAAGCAGTGATAAACAAAGTTTCAACATGATTTTCTGAATTTATCACATCTTGTATCAGCTAACTATGTTTTGTGGATTATCTAAGAGTAAATAAAGATATCCTCTACAGGGAACAAGCTTAAACATTTTGTTTATTTACTATCATTCGCAGCTTTTAATGCACAATTTCTATTCATTTAGGGGATAAAATATATGTGCTATAACTTTTACTAACATGTTTTTGTCTCCAATATGTTAAATACAGCAAATAAGCAGTAATTGTGTATTAAAATGTGCAGAAGTGTGTTCTCTGTAGAGTAGAACTTATTTTTATTTTGAAAATCCACAAAAATATGACATTTGACCAGGGTGCACAAACTTTTGCATACATATTTACATATGTATTTGTGGTCTGGGTTTAATATAAAACAGTAATAATTTGTTTGGACGCTGTGTGTTGTCCACCTGACGCTTTTTTCTTTGTTGAATAATGCCTTAAAAATATTAATTAATTAATAAAATTGATGTACTATGTAAAAACTGTTAAAGTTTCAAAACATACCATTACCTTTCCCAGTCCACACAGTCCATACATGTAAACTAAGCAGCAAAAACAGCCCATTTTAAATTTGTGGTTATGATAAAACAGTGGATTTGCGTATATTCACCTATTCAGCCAACAGCAGTTAAGCCCTGCCCATTCACGCTGAAGTTATAAGGAGTATGATCAGTCTTAAAGGCACAGTCACAAAATCACAACCCCATTTCCAAAGAAGTTGGAGCGCTGTTCAGAATGTAAATAAAACTAGAATGCAAAGATGTGCAAATCATATAAACCATATTTTTAAAGGAAAATACTACAAAGACAACATATCAAATGTTGAAACTGAGAAATTGTATTGTTTTTTGAAAAATATATGCCCATTTTAAATTTGATGCCAACAACACATTTCAAAAAAGTTGCAACGGGAGCATGTTTACCACTGTGTTTCATCACCTCTTCTTTTAACAACACTCTGTAAGTGTTTGGGAACTGAGGAGACCAACTGCTATAGTTTTGAAAGTGAATGTTTTCTCATTCTTGCCTAACATAGGATTTCAGCTGCTCATCAGTTCAGGGTCTCCTTTGTCATATTTTTCATTTCATAATCCTCCAAATGTTATCAGTGGGTGACAGATCTGGACTGCAGGCAGGTCAGTTTAAAAGAGTCTTTTAATATGGAGCAATGCTGTTGTAATACATGTAGAATGTGGTTTGACATTGTCTTGCTGAAATAATCAAGGCCTTCCCTGAAAAAGACGCTGTCTGGATGGCAGCATATGTTGTCAAAACATGTATACACTGTTCACTGTTCCCTATACCATCATGAATACTGGCTTTTGAACTGCGCACTGATAACAAGCTGAGTGGTCTTTAGCCCGGAGGACACAGTGTCCATGATTTCCAAAAAGAATTTCAAATGTTGATTGGTCAGACCACAGGACACTTTTCCACTTCCCCTCAGTCCATTTTTAATGAGCTCAGGCCCAGAGAAGGTGGCAGCATTTCTGGATCCTGTTTATGTACAGTTTCTTCTTCGCATTTTAGAGTTTTAATTAGCATTTGTGGATGCTGCAACAAACTGTTTTCACAGACAGTGGTTTTCAGAAGTGTTTCTGAGCCCATGCAGTGATTTCCACTACAGAATCATATCTGTTTTTAATGCAGTACTGTCTGAGGGCCCAAAGATAATGACCAGCAAATACTGTTTTTTGGCCTTGTCCCTTGCATACAGAGATTTCTCTGGATTCTCTGAATCTTTTAATGACATCATGTACTGTAGATGATAAAGAGCAGAAATTATTTGCTATTTTATGCTGAGAAACGTTATTCTTGAATTGTTGCACTATTTGCTTGTGCAGTCTTTCACAGAGTGGTGAATCCCTCCTCATCTTTACTTCTGAAAGACTCTCTGGGATGTTCTTTTTATACTCAATCATGTTACTGACCTGTTGCCAGTTAACCACCAAGTGTTTTTTTTTTTTTATTATTATTATTTCACAACTTTACCAGCCCTTTGTTGCCCCCGTTCCAACTTTTTGGAACATGTTGTTGGCATCAAATTCAAAATGGGCAAATATTTTTCAAAAAAACAATAAAATTTCTCAGTTTCAACATTTGATATGTTGTCTTTGTACTATTTTCAATGAAATATAGGGTTTAAATGATTTGCACATCATTGCATTTTGTTTTCATTTACATTTTGCACAGCGTCCCACACAAACGCCAGAACGGACCTCAGGGGAAAATGAAAACACAAAAGCAGTGTAGAATATAGGAACTTTAGGGATTATGTAGGACCTGAATTATTCAGTAACTTCTATGAACTAAGTGTGGAGTTATTATTGTCACTTTGCTATGCTCTTTAAATGTAATTACATTATTAGTACACCTACTTACACTCGACCACTTGCCACATCATCAGGTATATCTACTGTACAGGAGCACTTTGTAGGTCTACAGTTACTGACTGTTGCCCATCTGTTGCTACAGAATGTATCAGCCCTCTCTACTCCATTTATTAATGGAAAGCGACCACCATAGGACCACTGACATGGCAGTGCGCTGAGATAGCTGATGAGGTTTCTGACACTTTCATCTATAAAAATGGACTTACTACTGTCAAGTGTTACTGTGCATCTGCTGAATATGAATACGTTTCCTAGAAATTGTATATGTGCTAGATATGAATGCTACCTATTAGTAAGCTCTATAAATACTGGTTATAACATCATCACTGTGGGTGTGGCTGCAGTTCAAATGAAATGCATCAAAAAGCTCCTGGTAAGTATGCTAGCGTATGAATTTCTGTTCAGAAATGTCAAAGCTGTGATGTTGTTAAAGATCTTGTAATTGCTCACTTTGTGGTTTAAAATAAGTGCTGCACTGACACTGTTTCAAACATTACCAACATCTGTAAAATCTTTTATCGGTTTTCAATAATGGGCTGTTAATTATGCATCTTAAAAGTTAAAGCAGCATTGTCCACTTCGACCGTCCCACTCAAGCAAGTTACATGAAAGAGATGAGAGGGATCATATCCTATTAATGCAGACGCAGCATTTTAAAATAAACATCAACACTATTCTTATATTGTACTGTTGGGCTGTACTATTCAGATATTGGTCAAAATCAACCCTACTCTGCCTGAATTCAGCCTACTGTGTAGTCCACTACTAGTCAGTTTAAACAGCATGGAGACCCTCTAGAGGCAAATGTAATCTTTGACTGGGAAACTAGCCCTACACTCTTAAAAAAAAAGCTGGTTCTTCAAGGGTTCTTTAGTAAAGGAAATGGTTCAACTTAGCACCATGTGTTCTATATAGAACCATTTCACACTTAGATGGTTCTTTGCATAGTGAAAAGGTTCTTCAGATTAATGGAGAGTGTGTTCTATCTGGTTCTACATAGAACTTTTTTAAAATTGGTTCTATATAAAAGGGTTCATCTATTGTTACAATGTCAAGCTTGCAACCGCTTAACCACTTAAGCATCAAATGATGAAATGAAGATCCCTTTACTGAAGAACCCTTGTAAAACTGTCTTTGACTCACTGTCTGTAGAAAAAGATGCTCTGGAGGAGACACACACGAGCCCAAGGTCACCATGTCCAACGCTAAGCGTCGGCTAGAGGGGTATAAAGACCTCCAGCATTGAGCTGTAGAGCAGTGGAGCTGCGTTCTCTGGAGTTATGGAGCTTCATTGCAACAGGATGGGTTTGCGATCCACTACCAGTATCTGATCTCACTAATGCTCTTGTGGCTGAATGCATTCAAATCCTCACAGCAATGTTCCAACATCTAGTGCAAAGCCTCAGAAGAGTAGAGGCTGTTACTGCCCATTAATACACTTGATTCCAGAAGAAGCGCTGGATAAGCAGGTGTCTACAAACTTTTGGACAGACAGTGTCTGTAAGCAGAAGATAGTATGTAGGCTGTGTTCATCTCATTAGCATGAAAACTGAAAGACAGGATTGTTTTCATGTGGAAACGATGAACACATTTCAGTGTGTGGCTCGTGACACACACGGTCAGGTCCGCACCTCGAGGTGCTCGTGTGAGTGTCTGGTACACAGCAGTCTGCACGAGACTCTCTGAACACTGCTCAACCACCGACATGAATCCTGATGGTGGCAACCACTGACCAAGACCTGGACCTTCCTCTGCATGTACGAAAGCGAATCGAGTGTCATTTTGTTTCAAGATAAAACGGGAAGATCATGATATACAAGGCTGCATGTGCCCCGCTTGCCCCCCAATACGGGCTGTCTGAGCTGACACACAGTAAGCCAACAGACCAAAATACAGTGACTGTCATATTGTGTCTTGCAGAGTTGATTAGTTACGACAGCCAGTCTACATGACAAAGACTGAGAGGATCATAAGCTAATATCACTTATAGACACGCAGAGAGAGAGAGAGAGAGAGAGAGAGAGAGAGAGAGAGAATGAGAGAGAAAAAAATGAGAATGTGAGACAATGAGAAAAAGAGAACGAAAGAGAGGGAATGTGTAAGAGAGAGAGAGAATAAGTGTGAGAGAAGAGAGAAAAGAGAGAGACACACACACACACACAGCAGAGAGAGAGAGAGAGAGAGAGAGAGAGAGAGAGAAGTTGGACCGTTAAAGACAGACCACGACAGAAATGGCACTAAAACCAGACTGGAGAAGTTGTCAGGTCGTCTATGAGCTCAGGTTTGCTCTGACTGGCTGAAGGATGACCCTCAGCGCTGTGTCTCCTACCTTTGTGAACGGCGACCCCGATGGCTAAAGTTAAAATCCAAACCGAAGCCATGGCTCAGCCCCCGTTCCGCAGCTGCCCACCGGACCATCAATACACCCCGCGGTGTGTGAGCAGTAAATCCTTGAACTAACGACGGCGGTGCTGTGTGTGTGTGTCTGTCCACATGTTCCTCCGGAGCATCCTCTCCTCTCAGTCTCTCAGTCTGTGAGTGAGGGAGTGTGTCGCCTCCTCCTCTCTGGCTCCGCGGCTTCGCTTTCCTTCCGCGCCTTCATTAACGAGACAAGAAAATTCTCTCTCTCTCTCTCTCTCTCTCTCACTCTCTCTCTCTCTCTCTCTCTCTCTCTCTCAACTGTCCGTTGTTCGCTCTTTCTGAGGGTAAACAGCGCCGCTCACCCCTAGCGGCGCTCCGCGGTACTGCAGCGCCGCTGCTCTCGTCCTTCCACGCTGTTCAATGTCAGAGCAGCAGTGAGAGAGACAGCCCGCTGGAAACAGCGCCGGCCAGCTGCCGAGGAGCCGCCGTTATTCTTCTCAGCTGTGTGCAGCTACAGTAGAGCCTCAGTGTTGTGACCAGTGACCAGCTATGCAGACCTGCCTCTAGAATACAGCATTATCATTTGTAATGTCATCTTGTTTTATGCGACTGACACTTGATAACAAGAAAACAGGCTGTTATTAGCTACACACTTAAAAATGATGGTTCTCCAAGGGTTCTTTAGAAAAGAAAACGGTTCTATGTAGAACCATGAACACTCATGGTTATTTGCAGCGTAAAGAGTTCTTCAGATTGATGGAGAATGTGTTGTATATGGTTCTGTATAGTACCAAAAAGGGTTCTTCTATTGTTACAGGCTTGACTTCATAACAATAGCAGGACCCGTTTTGGTGCTATTTAGAAACATTTTAAACAGGTTCTATATGGAACCATCTACAGCACATTTTCCATCAACCTGACAGACCCTTTCACAATGCAAAGAATATATATGTACATACATATATAATTTTATAATTGTATATAAATATAAATGATATATAACTCCTAATATATACTCCTAATTGTTGTGGTGTATAAAATCAAGCGCATAGCCATGCAATCTCCTAAGACAAACATTGGTGGTAGGATGAGTTACACAGAAGTCTCAGTGACTTTCTCAGCCACTTTTGCCACAAGTCACATTATGAGATTTCTGCTCTGCTAGGTCTGCCTTGGTCAACTGTAAGTGTTATTATTGTGAAATGGAAGTGTCAAGTGACAAGAACTATGTGTTGGGAGCTTCATGAAATGGGTATTAGTGGCTGAGCAGCTGCACACAAGCCTAACATCACTATGTGCAATACCACATGTCGTGTAAAGCATGTCACCACTGGACTCTGGAGCAGTGGAAATGTGTTTTCTTGATGAATCACACTTCACTATCTGGCAGGCTGATGGACGAATCTGGGTTTGGTGGATGTCAGGAAAACACTACCTACCAGAATACACAGTGGCAACTGTTTTTCAGGGTTTGGGCCCCTTCCAGTTCCAGTGAAAGGTAATGTTAATGCAAGAGCATACAAAGACATTTTAGACAGTTGTATACTTCCAACTTTGTGGCAACAGCTTGGGGACCCTTTCCTGTTCCAGCATGACTGTCCCTTTTACACAAAGCAAGCTCCATAAAGATATTATTTGATGAGCTTGGTGTGGAGGAACTCCAGTGGTCTGCACCGAGATCTGACCTCAACCTTACTGAACACCTTTGGGATGAATTGGAACATTGATTGCTGAGCCAGGAGTTCTCGAAAAACACCAGAGCCTGAACTCACAAACGCTCTTTTTACTGAGTGGGCACAAACGCCCTAAGGCACACTCCAAGATCTTGTGAAAAGTCCTCTCATAAGAGCGGAGGTGGGATAACTCCATATAAATGCTCATGGTTTTGCAATGGGATGGCCAACAAGGTTAAATAGGTGTGATGGTAAGGCATCCACATATTTATGGCCATATAGTGTATTAGTGACCACAAATTGTTAAAGGGGTTGTGCATTATGATATCAAGAAACTCCCACTGACATTAGCTTGTTTTGATAAACAAGTATTAGCTTGTTGGTCTCTGTCACACAAATTTTCACATAAATATTTATTACAGAATTACAAAGACATAAAATAAAAATAAAACTTTATTTTACTCAAATGGCTTGACTGTTGTTTTAGTTAGCCAACTCTTGGACAATGCAAGTTCTATACTCTTTTATACTCTTTTACAGTTACCTCAAAAGAAAATGCTACAGTGTGGCACAATTCCTAATGGTGTTAAACCATTACTTCAATCAGGCCTAATTGGCACATCTTACCTCTTTAGATTCTGCCACTCCAAAATAAGATTGATCCTTCATAGAACTCAAGCTTCAGTCCCTGCTTATATTCGCTTTTGCAGTAACAAATTTGACAATATATAATATCCTTTCCAATAAAACTGTGGAAGTCCATTTGAAAGTATGTATTTGCACCCTTATGTAACCTAATGTTTTAAAACAGAACAATGAAATAAAAAGGCTGGGTGTGTGGAGTCAGCACAAAAAAAAATTTCAATGGATTATGGTACAATGATGTACCCTGACTAAAGGTACTGAAATGTACCCTTGAGGGTAATGTGCCCTTGAGGCAGTACCCTTGACAAGAAGGGTACTGCCCCAGTGACAGTTCCGTACCTTTTTCTCTTAGAGTGTAGCAGTGAGGTTGCAGATTGCAACCAACTGAATAGCCTCCCTCACCCCTCTCTTTCCAAGCATGTAGTAGAACCTATGGTGGTAGGTTTTTTGCTGCCCTCCTTTGCTTTTTCTTGCACTAAATAATAAGTAATTCTTGTCAAGCTTCTCCCAACACAATATTGCTTGCCAACATCGGCAGCAGCCACTGATTCTACTTCTTTATACGTCTTCCGAAAGGTGCTATATCACCACTACATTCAAGCTGCCGCTTCAATGTAAAAACGCAAAAGGCGCCCTCCAGAGACAGTGTGTGGTACGTCTGTTCTGGGCTACTGTAGAAACATGGTGGGGCAACATCGCAGCCTCTGTTGGAAGAGGACCTGCTCCCTGGTTAGACATGAAGGGCTCATTCTAAGCTAATGTAAACAACAATTTGTAGTTACAGGTGGTTATACACTATGAAAATCTGATTTTGTATACTATATTTCATTTCTGCTAATAAAGCTTACATGCTGCACCTTTAAATAATTGGTAATCAGTAAATTTGTCTATTTAAATTTAACCCTGCTGTATTGTCACAGTGTTCTTTCTGTCACTGACCTCATGACCTTTGATCATCTCTTTTGGAATTCTCTCTACTGCAAAATTTTCTTAGATAGCTTATAAATTGGTGTAATCAATGTTTTGTAGTTCTTTTGTCCGGGGGAAGATTTAGTAATTGGGGGCTGTAAGCAAAAGACTGGAATAGGGCCCCCTGGATGATCATTTTTAAATTAGTTGCAACTCTGGGCTCCCCAGTGACACATTTATCCACACTTCAAAAAATCTCTTGAAATAATGAAATAATCTTAAATGTAGTTGATATATGTAATATTTCTCATTGTTAGAATGTAATAAGATTCTTGAACTACTACTAGACACTGTTTTACTCATTTTAAGTGATTCTATTAATTGAATTCATCTCACTATATTGACAGATAATCCTGCTTTTATTAAGAAATATGCTATTTAGGTTAAGATTAACATAGAAATTGAGTAATGAGTGGTGAGATTACTTTCTTTCAAGAGCAATACATCATGTAATCCCATTTCAGTGTGAGAGAAGTCATTAGTAACTTGTAATGAATTGTTTTTTTGAGTAACTACCCCAACACTGTAGCTATACTATTAACACTAGCATTATGTACAGTCTGCTGAGTGTGTGCAGTGCTCTGTTCTGACTGAAAAACAAAGTTATCTCTGAGAGTAAAGAGATAAACTTCTTGCTTTCTTCACTCTATTAACACGTCTCTGCTGCACTTACATACAATTTTATTTGATTTTCCCTCTGAACACTCAAAAAACCTCCTCTCTATAATGTAGATTATCGCATAGTTGCCTTGTTCATACCAGTCTGACTTTATGCAGTTGTGTCATCATGTAACAACATGGAATAGTCCATTATAACCATGATTGAGGGGAGGGGCTGCATTGAAATTACTGATAATTATCATTATAGTCAGAAATTACAGCTGTTTTTTAGTGTATATGAATTTTAGAATAGGTTATTTAACATCAACACTTACAGTATCTAACCTGTATTTTTAAGATACACAGATACTTAAAACACTTACAGCAGCAATGCACATAGACTGGGGGGGGGTGGTATTTATTATGTCCTTGTTCAGAATGATCACAGCAGCAGGCACAAATGATCTTTTGTACCAATTCTTGCTGGCTAGTGGGACCTTAAGTTTCCTGCTTGATGGAAGCAGCTTGAATGATGAATGAAGGGGGTGGGTGGAGTCATTGATTATTTTTGGTTATGGATCGGATGTATAAATTCTGGATTGGCAGTTGTTTGTCTCCAATGATCATACTGGCCCGGTTGACTACCTGGGCCAGCAAGTTCCTGTGCTTAACTGAGAACACTCCCAATAAGTGACCTGTAGACCATGATCAGAGTTTGTTTGCTGGTGTTAAAGCTCATCAGCTTCCTGAGAGCCTCTGTCTTGCCTTTTTGCAGAAATAATCTACTGAGTCGGGGTTGAGTCCAATTTTCAGTAATTGTTCTCAAATATTTTAAGTGATTGAGTTGTTCCACTGGTTTGAAGACCCTATGCTGTCTGCTACCATCCTCCATCCAAAACATAGCTCATTGATCTTGCTGACATTAAGATCAAGGAAATTTTATAGGGCCCTTGACTCATGGGGGCCCTATAGGTGGCTGCCTACCTTTGCCTAGTGCAAAGACCATCTTGGCTTTTGCCCTCAGATGTTAAATTTCTGGGTTGGTAGTTACTTTAAAAATGTATTCGGTTACATGTTACTGATTATCTGTTAAAAAATGTAACTATAACCTAGTATATTAGTTTACACTGATGCTGCTGCTGCATAAACTAAACTAATCAAATTATTAATTTGCTCCACCTGTTTTCCCCGTTTTTTGTACTATAATACTTTATACTAACAATGTTTAACATCCAGTGTTGACCAGAGGAGGATGAGCTCCTCTTCTGAGTCTTGGTTCCTCTCAAGGTTTCTTCCTGTTTCTCTTAGGGAGTTTTTCCTTGCCACTGTCGCCCCTGGCTTGCTCATGGGGGCTTGGACCCGGATTTCTTTCTGTAAT